GTGTGTGTGTGTGTGTGTGTGTGTGTGTGTGTGTGTGTGTGTGTGTGTGTGGTATGCTTGGCCTTTGGTGGGAACGTGGATATGAATGTGGCCACTGACTGTGGAACCCTGTTTTGTACAGGGTAGGCCCTTCTTGCTCAAACCTGGCTACATTGCACGGACTTGCACGTTCATTTCTAGCTCTTTTCTGGGAGCAGGGGCATTGCTCAGGTGGGACACCACTGGCTTTGGAGATTCCCTTGGACTTACAGGTCTGGCTTACTTTAAAAATGAATGACGGCATGGATCAACTCCAGATGTTTGTAGTGTGTGTGTGTCAACGTTCAGTTCTGTTCTCAAATACTCTGTCTTATTTTCTGAGAGAAAGTCTGTCTCTAACCTGGAGCTTACTGATTCTGTTGAACTAGCAGACCAGCAAGACCTGGGACCCCCTTGTCTCTGCGTCTCCACACTGGGACTCTTGGTACTTCCATAGTTGGCCCAGTACCCATATGTGGGTCCTGAGGGTCCATGCGATGGACCTTGTGTGTGTGCGTACAGCACCTTACTGACGGAGCCATCTCTCCAGCCTCTTGACTACAGATTTTCTGGACTGGAACTTCTCACATTGTTAAAATTATATTGTGCCTGTGGTCTAAAACTGGGAGTTTTGGATCCTGCAGTAAATCAAGAAGCCTGTGATGACTCTAATGACATAAAGACCTAGTCAGCGAAAGCATATGCTGCTTACCTCATTTCTTACCATGTCCCTTAGAATGGGCTCCGCGGAGGCCTTAAAACGCAGTATTTCCCTTGACGCCCAGACCTTTCAGTGCAGGCTCGTCACCAGTAAGCCAAAGCACATCCATTTCTCAGGCTGAGGGCAAGCTACACCTATGACCGCTTCAGAGCTCCATCTTTCAAGATTAGAACGCAGGGCAGCACAGATGTTCTCCCACGCCCAACAGAAATAGACCACAGAGCTATGATAAGCGGGCTCTCTATGAACAGAAGTCATGGACTCAAACAAAGCCAGAACAGAGCAGCCAACTGCCTTCTCTCCTTCCAGCAGAACTCACATCCCAGCAGTGGCTCCTCTGCTTATCAACTGTGGGATTTAGGAAACATCTCTCTGAGCCTCTGGTTGAAAACTTATTTCCAAAGCCAAAATGCAGACGGTGGAAGTATTTCTGGGGTGGAAATGATTTGGACTCTTGCCTGATTGACTGCCGGGGTGTCAGAGATGGATGTCGTGGCCTTGCTGCAAATGCAGACACTTTTCTCACAGTTCTGCACTGGCTACTCCATCCTGGTCTGTGGACACAGCAGTCTGCTGTCCAATTCCTAAACGTTCATGAAAGGTCCAAAAAGAAACGCCTGTTGGTGGAGTTGGGGGTATTTTCAAATAGGAAATGTTTGTGCTTCTTATCTTTAGAGGTAATTCCCTTTTTAACTCCAATCACAACATACCCTTTTGTTTAAATGAGGTTTTTCCCAGTCTCTAGCCAGAAACTGCGTCTGTTAACAATCTTTGGATTTTAGGCTGGAGCTTTGAAAACAATGAACCAGCTGACCGTGGACGGCATCTGGCTGTGCTGTATTGACTTATTGTTCACATGAGTTTTAAATCCTGGGAACAGGAGGGAGTAGTTCCTCAGAGGTGACAATAAAGTGTCATTCGCTGCTTTACAGTGACCACAGGCATAGAAAGAGGTCTGTAACCGGTCCTTGGTGTCGTTCAGCCGGAGTTGACTATCTAGAAAGTGCTCTTATCCCTCCCCAGAATTTGCAAAGCTGACAGGGCTGTAGAGACCGTTAGGTGCAGAGGCTGCAGATATCGAAGAGAACAAGCTTTCACAGGTGTGCCTAATCTTGCCTGCATTACCTCTGACCCCTAAAGCCTCAAATCTCATGATTTGAGTCTTCATGTGGTGTTCCCATATGTCTTGTGGAACCACTTTGGAAAAGGTCAATTTTCACTATGGTCTCCCCCCCTCCGTGTGTGTGTGTGTGTGTGTGTGTGTGTGTGTGTGTGTGTAGGTGCATGTGCACGCATGCTTGCTATAACTTAGTTAAATCGTCCTAGAATCTTCTCCATCCTGGCCATGGTTTGGCCATTGTGATCTCTGCATATTGCTAATCTGGAACTGCGTACATTTTGAGGATACATAAGGAAGGTAAATTTGACTCATGCTTTTCATTCCTTTTATTTGGTTTGTTTATTCTGATTGGATCAATCCCCACTTTCTTGGAAGTGCTTCTTTCAGTAAGCACACAGTGGCAAAAGTTGTGCTGTGGTGGACCAGGGGTTGCTGTCCTTTCAGCTGCTGGAGAGCGAGGGCAGCCAGTGTTTGCAGTGCAGAGAGGGGACGTTTTATCAAAATAGGACCTAGGGGAAACATATGCTGGGGTCACGGAATTAAAGACAAAAGGAACTTGGTGCTGCTTCCTACATAGCTGTCAAACTCGCCAGCTGTACTGGGAGGCAGGACGAGCTACTTTCCTGTAGCTGGTGCCTTGTCCAACCACAGGTTCTGTACTGGATTGGAGTATTAGAGAGGGTGAGATTTCGTTTTCTTTCGTTTAGTTTGTTTGCTCACTGTGCAGTAGACTAAGCATTGGTTTTTCAAGTACCCACTCTACTAGATGTCAGGATTTGGGAAAGGGAGCCAGCAAAATAACCCCAGCCTGGTGTTGCACCTGTCAAGGCTGCCCTCCACCACCGGGCCGTACCCTATGCCCAATTTCTGAGCATCTATAGAAGTACTTGATTTGTTTCCAGCCATTGAATTTTCAACCTGTGATGGTTAACTTGGTGTTTGTGTTGTAAGTGATAAAAGCCTAAAGAAAGTGGCAAAAGCCATCCTGCTAGAAATATAATCTTCCTGTCCTTCCCTCCTTTCACCTCTTTGCGGAGTCCATGGGGGACAGGGTAGTATCCAGCCAGAAGCAGCTCCAGACTCCAGGCTTTGGGAATGTCTGTCCTGTGTCTGTGTGTCCCGTCGAGAGAGGAGTCTGTAGACAGTCCCTAGCTGTGAAGCAGACAGATGTGACAGGCTCTGGGTGCCTGGCGCCTGACCCAGTGTACAG